ATAGAACAAAGCATTTTCACATTTCATTTTTCAATTTTTTCCTCGTTCCTCATTCACTCTTAGTTTTTTTTTCGCCAGCAGCTCATAGAACATGAAAATAATTAATCGATTTCAACTTCAAGAGAAATTCAAATGAATCGATCAGTATCAATCATTCGTGAATGATAATAACAGTGATTGATATTTCAGGATTTTCATTATTAATGACATTGCGCCGGTGTGATTGATTGCCTTTTCATCCCGATTATCGCTATATCACTCGTATCACGAACTCTGTTTCCCTTATCAGTCGACGATATTTGTGGTATTGGTCAGTTGTGGAGAAGCATTCCTGAGGTTAATAAATGGAATACGCGTATAGACTCTTCAAGAACGTTCAGTTCTTCTACAATACGCTGAATCCAGCAACTCTGTCCGGTATAATTTTAGCATCACCGTTCCACATTCATAATTTTCGTATTACTACATAATTCTGATTATATGTTATTGTAATCTTAAAAATTTTTAGCATCAGACAGCAATATTCTTAGAATTTTTGTTTTTGAGAATTGCTCACAGCTAGAATGTTTATCGTCAACTTTTTATTTCAATTTGTTGTTATCTTATCCACTGATTGGAAGTGAGTTGTGAAAGAAGGAAACGATGAATGGAACTTGTTCAGGTGCAATCGATGTAATCGTGGTTGAACAGCCAGACGGCACCTTAGTGTCGACTCCTTTCCACGTTCGTTTCGGTAAATATGGGGTTTTTACGAGCAATGAAAAGGTACGGTCTCAGTTCTTGCTTCATCATTTTTGTCGATAATCACTCACACTTAATGAGCTGCTTATTGACGGCATTTCTTATATTCTGTATCGTTTGCATGACAGTACTTGGCCATTAATTAATGACGACAACATAAATTAAGTATGTGGATGTCACTGTGAATGGTGAAGAGATCGATCTGAAAATGAAACTCGGTGAGAATGGAGTTGCTTTCTTTGTTGAGGAAACCGAGGATGCGGACGTTCCAGAATATCTGGTCACCAGTCCATTACCGTCGGAAGGTCGTGACATTGACATAACAAAGGTGAGCTTGATGCCATTTCGTCATTTATCTGCATACGTTTGATAATTCATCAAGCTTATATTACTTACCAGTTCGCCTGTTTCGCAAGTAACTATCTTATTTTGCAATATCGACTCAATATGATCATTTTTATTTTCATGTAGTAGCTTAAAGGAAACATTAATTATTGTTCTGTTATTGTGATATAAATCATAGAAGCATGCTTCTATACTGCGTATTGAATCACTTTATCATTTGTCTGTTGCATATTGAAATATTACTTCAGTGCCATCATCTGAATCGAAGAACTCAATTGAAACTGTTTGCTAGGATCAGTATATATTCACTCATCATGGTGGATGCTTTGAAAGCATTCATCTTCATTCTGTAGGATCCTCTAATTTGATATATTTCAATTTTTTGAGTGCCATTACGATGTATTCTCCTTAGGTTTTGATCAACTTTTTAATGGAAGGGAATGAATATGAACGTCTATTCAAGGTGATTGAACAAAGTGTAAGGGCACTGGAGGAACGACAAAAGCGATACAATAGTCGTTCGGCGAACAAACGAGTCGATTCCGGAAGTACCAGTATTGTTTCGAGTCTCTTTTCCAGATCACCCTCGCCTAGTTCTGGGCGAAGTTTTGACGAGTTCGTTTAGCTCATTATCGTTTATCTCATTTTTGATTGAACACAAAATGGAATGAATATTATCAACATCACAATAAGTTTTTCAGAAATCATTTTATTTTTATGAGTTTGTTTTTCTTTAATTTATCACTTAACATTGTTGTCAATGCAGCAATTATCGTTCAGCTTTCCATAGTATAGGATTTTGTTTCAAATTTATCAACTGATCATTCGAAAGTTGTTGAATTCTCTCTGAAGTATGATCAACGAATCCAAGACATTCTCTCAATCTCCTTACCAGTGACGCGATAAAATTTATCAGTGCAATAGGCAGTTTATTGTGATAAATGAGTTCTTAATTTGTATAATATACGTCTTATAATGTTCAGGCAAAAGAAGTTAAAGGAGATGAAGAGCAAAAAGTCGCTTCCATTCAATGCGTCGCTGTTCAGTCAACGTCGCTATCGATCTCTGCCGAATCTTAGTGAGTTAGTTGAGGCGAGTAATCTAGATACAACTGACAATCTGGAATCTAATCTGGAAAACGATGTGCCTCTTATCGTTGATGACACTAACAAGGACCAATTTAAAATGAAACAGCAACAAGTCAAGAAAGATGGCAGAAGGTTTTATTTTCAGCTGATCCGTTATTAATTTATAATTCAGTTGAATGCATCAAATTTGACTTGATCTATAGATTAATACTGCTGGTGTGAAAACTTTGAGCTTAATGTTATTTTGGATATCAGAATGCTTCTGTGAAGAAGACATTTCTCGAAATTTGTTTTACAAGCATTTTGCATTTGCGCAAACAAATACAGTGTGCCAGCCCTAAAATTTTGCAAAATTTTTAAAAAATTAAACCTTTATTATATGCTTTACCGAGGTGCTGATAAAATTTTGTTGGTGCCTTCTTGAAACGTTGTGATAAAGTAAAATTTTC